CGTGGAGGTCGTCGCGGACGCGCAAGGAACATGACACACGCTCACTGGTCAGGGCATCGAGCCCCTCCATCAGAGCGTATGTCACTTCCTCGCTCGGCCAGACACCACGCCGCGCAGCACGATATCGTCGCCGCCGCCGGTCGTAGTCGATGTTACGGTGAGCTTAATGCCTTAGGGAAGGACCGTAGCCGCAGCATGCGCATCACCGATACACGGCCTCCATCATCCACCCTGTACATCCACCGCTACCCGCGATGTATCTCGAAAAAAAACCCGACTACATCTACACACGCGCCTTGCGCGCCTTCTCTGCAGCAGTCCGGCTGTACGCCCGCTCTGGGAGTCAGCTACTTACCACCCTCGCGCTGCACTCGCGCTTTGGTGATCCCACCATTTCGGACGACACGTCAAGACACCTTAAATCGTCCAGTCCATTCTGATGTTCCCTTATGTTGGAAACGGTGCATCGCGATTTCGTCCACTACGTTTCCTACGGCGTACGCCGCTCACGTAGAAGTCGCGCGAGTGGTTTAGAAGGAAGTCGGCGCTTCCCATTCTCACGAAAACACCGCAACGGAGCCCGAAAACGATTATGACGAACCCGACGACACGATAACGCAGTTCCTCACAATCATGCATGATCTCATCACCGACGGGACCCACTGGCCGACAATCCCCTATCTGTATTATGCGGAAGTTCTCCCTTCCCTCCGCACCACCTCTCCCGTCTTTATCGGCAATGTGAAACACTACGTCGATACGATACTATAAACAATACACCAAAAAAAGCTCCGAGCTTGGAGACAGACGCGGATTGAGTGAGTGACTGAAGTCACAACCCTCCAGCAGCGGCCGCACCGCGACGGGACAGTAACCGGGCAGACGTGAGCGCACCGCGCCAGCCCCTCACCGCCCAGCCGCACGGTTCCGCCACGTGGGGCAGAGGACGGGTACATCAGTGAGGAGAGGCGTATGAAAGATCCGAATGAACACAGAGAGAATGACAAGGACTGGGCGTATCGCCGATTTAAGGGGCCGATCGCCTGGGCTCGGTTTCGCGCCACATCGAAATACACTGGGCATGTGTTTAGCTTTCCTAAAGACGCTGATGGGCTGGGTTTGAGTTGGTCCGCCACGCAGCCTCCGCGAATAAGCTTGCATTATTATTATTATTATGCACTTCACGAGTGCCTCTGCGCTTCAGCGGGGGACAAGGCCTGTGCCATTGACGTCGTAGACGAGGGCGCATTCATCGCGTGTCCGCGCAGTGACGTCGCCAGGAGCACAAAGTCGCCCGGCCAGGACAGCAGCGAGGCACACGTCATCGCAATTTCAACAAAAGTCGCATGAGGATGACATATGAAAGTGCTACAAATACAAGAAAAAAGGCTACGCAGGTGGGAAAAGATGAGACAAACGAAGAAAGGGGAGGGAGACGTGGCTGACAGACGTGACAAGTACAACACAAAGGACGGTGGACGAGGAGCGGACTAGGGGGAGGGGGAGAGGGCGGCGAACAAACAACGCATCTTGAATCAAGCTTCTCAGGCGGGGGGCTCTGAGGTCTACGAGAATTGGAGGGATAAACAGAAGAATAAAATATGAAAGACGGCCAAACGTACCGAATGAAAAGGTGCATAGAGGTGCGTCGCGACGCTCGCGGGCAAACGCGCGCTAGGTGGAGGACAAACGAAGACCGGTTTATGGTGACGGCCTGGAGGGGAACGGAGGGACGAGGGGGGGCGAAGCGTGAACGTTTGAACAAAGGATCGCAAACACAAAGACGAGAGCACTTACCGGGGACACCGGAGTGGCACAGAGCAGCGGTAAGTTGACGACGGTGCTTGGGGCAGGCGGGGACGCTGGAGGGTCCGCGGGGTGGACCGGGGGAGCCGTCGTCTTCACCGTGGCTCTCGTCGTGGAGGTCTTCGCGGACGTGCAAGGAACATGGCACACGCTCACTGGTCAGGGCATCGAGCCCCTCCATCAGAGCGCGTACTACTCCCTCGCTCGACCAGACACCACGCCTCGCAGCCGGAGGTCGTCGCCGCCGCCGGTCGTGGTCGATGTTCCGGTGGGCTTGATGCCTTGGGGGAAGGACCGGGGACATTGGAGTGGCACAGAGCAGCGGTAAGTCGGCGACGGCGCTTGGGGCAGGCGGGGTGCTGGAGGGTCGGAGGGGACGCTGGAGGGTCGGCGGGGTGGACCGGAGAGCCGTCCGTCGTCTTCACCGTGGCCCTCGTCGTGGAGGTCGTCGCGGACGCGCAAGGAACATGACACACGCTCACTGGTCAGGGCATCGAGCCCCTCCATCAGAGCGTATGTCACTTCCTCGCTCGGCCAGACACCACGCCGCAGCCGGAGGTCGTCGTCGCCGCCTGTCGTGGTCGATGTTCCGGTGAGCTTGATGCCTTGGGGAAGGACCGTGGCGGAGGCGGAGAGTTGAAGGCAGTCCCAGACGGGCTCGAGTGCAGCCCTCGCCACATCGAGCCGTCGGAGCGATGAGAAGGAGGAGCGGGGACGGAGCAGCAATGGGGACGCTGAGGAGCGGCAAACAGGTGAAGCGCAAGTGCAGTGCAGCTAGGCAAGCGCGCTTGTCACCCCCATGTCACTACTTAACGTGACACCACTTGATCCTCGATATCGAATGGGCCCCCGCTCAGCTCACGTTTTCATAAATCAGTGTTCCCGGGTACTTCCACGCCCTACCGTAGATAATTTCTCTGTAGTGTTCCATCGATGATGGTGGCCAGGTCAAGTGCCAACATTCTCCCGGTTGATCGTGTTACCCCCTGTCACGGGGATAAGTCGATGATAAAGGCTTACACCATATCTAAATATCCGTAAATTCAGACAAGTGTCGCCGTGCTTCGGAACGTACACGCGGCGGACCGCTCGCGGGACGGCGAGCGCGTGCAGCTTGCACACGGTCTAGACTCTAGATCTCCTCCGCTATGCTCTTCAGGTCCGGCCACATCCCCGCCCCTCCCGCGCGAGCTCGCGCCCTGCACCTGCATGTGTTACCGCAGAAGTGGAGCGGGCGCGCGCTGCGGATGGTGAGGCGGCGGAGAGCGGGAAAGGTGTGAGCGAGATCCCGGTGGGCACGTGACGTGGCCGCACACGGGCACCTGCAACACCTCCAGCGGGAGAAGCGTCAGCCTGTCAGGGGATTCGATCCACGCGAGGGGAGGAGGACGAGGAACGACGGGGCGCCCTTCTTCTCCTCCTCCTCCTTGTCGCCGTTCTCTGCCCGCGCCGCCCTCCACCGCGCCCTTCTGCGCCTCTCCATATCGCCCTACTCCGCCTTCGCATCACTCTCGAGTCTCCTCTACCTCCGTGCCGTCCCGGGGCCGCGGCGAGCCACCGTGGCCCCACTATTACTTGGTAGCATCACTGTGTAGTAGTTCACTAAAAATATACTCTAATCACTAATAGTATACAAAAAATGGGTTGTGCCAAAACAATGGGGGAGGTATGCTCACTGTCGGAGACGGTGAGCACAGGTTACAGATAGCAGGGCCTGGCAAGGCGCCGGCGTCCGGACATCTCGGGACTGCCTCGCATGCATGATGGCCGGCAGGTGAATCATGAGGGCGTTGAGGAAAACTTTTATAAAAGAGCAACTCAATTCTCAGTTGGCGTCTAGATGAGATTTGGCATCTGTAGCACGCTACATCCCACGCGAATAGTGGGCAATTCTAAGACTGGAGTCAAGCACGGACAGCTACATCACGTGATCATTTGGCAGGCATTCGCATAAAAAGTCCATCACAGGTCGTAAACTCATGGTTATGCGAGTTCCGTTTCCTGAGGATCATGCAGTAAACGTCAATGCATGATTCTCACGAAGCCGATTTGTTGATTTCGGTTTCTACTGACCCCTGATAGCAATAGGAAGCGGGCGGCAAACGGGCGGCAAGAGCAAGCTCTCCAGACTCCGCCAAATTGCAGATCAGCGCCCGTTTCACGTGCCGCAGCAAGTAGCTGTTTGTGCTTGACCAGGCTTGACCCCAGTCTTAATCGTATTCTAATAGCCGGGCCGCCACCCCGGGATGACGATCCGCGTCTCCGCACCTTCCGTTTTCGTCATCACCTCTTTCCCGCGCATCCCTTATGTAATCCAATCTACACCTACTCTCTTTCTTTGTCCATCCGAGCCGCAAATCCCCCCGAATCCGACCATGCCACATCATGATTATGATATGCCCCTATGAATATGTATATAAAATTGCGCAGGTGTAGGTTTAGACCCAAGGAAACGAAGACCAGACCTTATCCCTGTCACCTTCGTTCGACCTCTTTCCACCTGGCACCCACCGTCGACACCGATCCGTTTGGTTCGCGAGCGCGACACTTGGGATCCTCGCCTGCTATAGCGTAGGTTATTTCTCCCGCTGCTTCTCCCGGTTTTCCTTGTTCATCCTCCGAAATTTCGGGCGCTGGCCATGAACATTGAAGAGGGATTTGCTAGTCTGAGAGAGTGATGGGCAGACGCAGAGGGAAAGACGCGGGAAACACCACCGTGGTGGTCCCCATATGCCCGCATACGTCACCAGAGGCGAATATATGTCGTGGCACGTCGCAATCAAGCTCGGGTCTGTGCCGGAAAAGCGAGGTGACTTGCGTCGCTGAGTCGGATACAACCGGCGGTATGTACTCTATGAGTGTCCGATGACTGTTACAAAGTCCTCGCGCTCTGCGCTGCGTCCTCCGTTACAGCCGCCGCCCCACAGACCTCTATACGTGGCACACCTGAAATCGTTGTTGGGGGTAGCACTGCTGTGTATTTATGTTCTCAATTGTTCATACGAAGGAACCGCAACCATCGAACACTCGACAGCCTGATAGGCAACCTCAAAGCATCGGAGCAGTGTACTGCTGCAACAAGGCGCGACATGCCTCATGTATCCGCGACGGCCTGAAGTCCTGCACGCTCGAGTCAGAGCTTGAAAGACGCGGAACGCACTACGCAACGTTCACTCCCAGCACCACCACTGGGCTCAGAGCGCAGAGCTAGATCCCTCCTGTATTCCCATTGAATAAGCGACATCGCACAAAAAAAAGGGGCCCGCGTGCCTAATGACAAACCTTGATGGTCATATCGCCCGCCTTCCCACAGATGTCCCCGACAGACTTTTCCCCCGCGAGCCCGAGCGAGGGCTCACACTCGGCGAGGATCGTCGCCTCGACGCCATCCTGCCGAGCGATCACGAGCCCGTACGCGGATGTCCGACCGACTGCGGCACAAGGGAGCCGTCCTCGGCCCTCGCTTACAGGGCAGGTGGAAGGGGGATGGGACTCACGCAAGACGGCCTGTGCACCGAAGGCGATTGCGCGGAGCATGTCCGCGCCGGAGCCGGTCCATGAGGACGGCGAACTTGTTCGACCCATGCGCGGACCTGACTTTGGGCGAGTGCATGATGCGCTCGGAGCCTTCGATCTGATGATCTGACGACTCCCGCCTGGGAGGACAGGTCGGTCATGATGCACACGAAAGGGACACAACGTGATTCTAGACGACGATGCCGTCGATTGCGATCTCCGGGTCCTGGGCGAGGAGGGTGGGTGTATACACGAGAGGTAGACGCAGGGAACACGCATCTCGGAACTCAACATCCCCTTCACCATCAACGGCCCCGAGAAGAAAGCGTCCGGTGCGAGCTCCGAGAGCCGATGAGAGAGTGTGTGTGAATGAGTGAGACTGAGATAGCGATTCAGATGAGAATGCCGGGATGAGATACCGGTTTTCTTTACGTGATTTGGTCGGCGTATCAACACGATGGCGCGGGCGTTGATGAGCGGCTCTGGAAGATACTGCATCAACCACGATGGCGCTGCGGCATGGACGTTTGCCTGCTGCCACTGCTGCGCTCGTCGCCACCATCTGCTCCCAGTTCCCGACCCTTTTTTCTGCGTACGGATGGCCCCCGGCTCCTTCTCTTTGCGCCGCGCAGCCGGAGAGTGATCGCCAGCGGTCTGGACTGCCCTTGCGTTATGGATACTTAGGCGTCCAGTCGTTCGAGGACTCTCCCCGCTCCTCTTAGGGGCACTGCGCTCCGCTGTCCGACACTATTCCCGTCCAATCTACATCCGTCTGTACACGCCCGAGTCATTTTTTTCGCCGGCGGTTCGCTTGCTCTTAGTGTCTCCTCGTGTTGCCCTTCGCGGGAATGCATTTCCCCATTACCATCCCTTTGCCTTGCTCCAATCTCATTACTTCATCTTCTTGCACTCAAGCCGGGCCCTTCTTCCGCTTCCTCCCGCGAAGCATCTCCCTGTTCCAGTCTTTTCATTCCCAAAATTCTTGATGTGGACCCAGACTGCCTGCTTGCGTCCGTGACTACACACGGCCGACCCCTTGAGCGCCATTGTCTAGACTTCGCCGCACGATCTCCGTCTTCTTCTTCTCGCGTGCCATCCTCCCGCTTCTCGTCATCGTATGTCTATACGACATCCCTCTTGCCTTTTTTAGCCACATCACCCTCGGTCCACCAGATTCGTCGTCCCTTTTACGACACTACGCCTCTACGCGAGATGTAGTAGCGCCCTCCTTCATACTTACGCGACTCCCATCCACCACCGTCCCCACCAATCCCAGCTCCTGAACCGCAGCCATCCCCTCGTACATGGCTCCCCCTAACATGGACCACTCAGGTTCGTCGGCTTCCCAGCGCCGTCCGCGTCCGCGGACTCTCATGGAGGATGGTTTCTTTCCACTGGTATGTGACGTTTGTCCGAGCTTGTGTCGGTGGAGGGTCCGATAATAACGCTGACCACCGCCGCTGCGACAGGTGGGGTCTCGCGTCTTTTTCCTTGAAGGCGGAAAAACACACTTCGGAAACGTCAGGAGTGTGGAAAGGACAGAGGCGAGTATGACTCGGTACCATGCGACTGTCGTCGGCTTATCTTGTATTCTGCAGGGGCTTCACTATGTTGTTATCGCGCGAGAGGGGAAGACAAAAGAAGTTGTGAGACTACCGTGCGTACTCTGGTGCCTGCGCACGTTCCTTGAACGGTGGCCATGTGCTGATGCTCATCTGCAGCTGTCAGAGTGTGCACGGGGTCTCGGGGGCCGGGTGAGCGCACGACGTCTCGCTCGTAATTTGTATCATGGACGCGGTAAAGCCGTTTCCCGCCCCTCACAATACCATACCTCGCTATTTACCACCCTTGGCCTACTAGACGATGCCTCCATCTCCTGCACAACTCCTGCATACTGCATACATGGACCTGTATCGCACTGTACCACCACATTAGGTCTCAGAGCTCGTCTGGGGCTAGCGAGATTGGATTGGATATGAAGACGCAGCGCGAGCAGTTGTGTTTTTCTCGCCCTCGTTTGTGACGTGCAGCATCATATACTCCCTTGAGCATTCCTAAGGCCTAGATCACGAACAGGCGGACGATGGCAACGAACCTCGCCCTGCAGGTCTTCGGGATGACCCCGGCCATCGTGTTGGAGTCGGACGTCGGAGAAGGGCCCACGCCGCGGGCTGCTTTCCATTAGTCCGCGCGGTCTCGTCCTCATTCACCTCCCTCTCGGACCACGGCCCGGGTACTTACTCTTTCGTTGTCGTCGTGTCCCCGGCGGACACAGCCGAACCGATCTAGACGGTCCTCCTGTCAGCGCTGCATGCTCGCCTCTCACTCTCCGCCATCCCGACCCGTCTGCCCGCTCTCTCTCCAACGTAGTGCCCTGATTACACTGTGCACGATGGATGTTTGCGACTCGGCCCGCAGTCCCGTCGCCATCCTCCTCCTCCGGCTGTTCCTCGCCCTGTGCAGCTCTCGGCAGGCACTTCGCCCTCAGCTTCTCTCAGCGCGGCTACACCGTCGTCGCGTTCAGCGCGGATGTCCTTGTTTTCTGGGAGCGCAGCCCGCCCTGTCCTTCTCTCTCTGTCCGCTCGCCCAATTCCTGACACTCCGTCTTGCCTCCCCTATCGTTCCATGCTATGTGCGCGATGCCCTGGGTGCCGCCGACCCCATCGGACCCCGCGGATAAAGCGTTAATGTCCCTAGGTAGCTCACCATGGGATAGTGAAGGAAGCCTCCGGCGCTCTAAGCACGTTCTGGGGGCTCGCGAATGGGTCACTGTCAATGCCTAGGAGCCTATTGCTCCCCCCACCGTCTGACCCTCGCCGCGGACCGCGTGCGCACGCTGCTCTATTCGGTTCTGGTTCGTCATCTCTCTCGTGCTCCCGTGGATCTCCGCGCTGTTACCATTTGCGCTGACCTCCTGCGCCATTTCTTGCACCTGCACCGACTCTATGGAGTCGCTGGCCGCTCAATTTCATCGGGCATATGTCCACGAACGCCCACACGTCCTTGACATTCGCGCGCGGCACGGAACAACACCCGCACAGCGTCCGCATCGAGCCCACAGCCAGCCCCGAAGGCGCATGGCCAATACAGTTGCCGACCTCGTGCGTGCGGACGTCAGCCTGCTCGGCACCTACTCCCTGTCCCGCTGACATGTGCGTCGTGCCTATAGTAGTGAATCATCAGGTGCATCTGTTACCATAGCCTATCAGCAGGTGCGGATGCACCTGTTGATCCGGCCGGCCCGGTTGCGCTCCCCACGCAGCCGCCGGCCACATGGGCGCGACACTGCCCCGAGACGTCCAGATACTGGCGCCTCGGGTCCTGCCACCTGAGCTCACCGTCTCTGACAGTGAGCTCACCTTCCTTTTTGTTTCACACCACACTTTGTATATGATTAGTGATCAAATATATTTATCAGTAAACTACTACACAGGTGGGCTAGCGAGTAATACTACGCCCCACAACAATGTGGAGGCAGAGGCGGAGGTGGGTGCGGGTGGGCGACACGGGCGGATGGGAGCGACGCGGATGGAGGCGGGCAACGCGGGGAGGTTGGCAATACGGGCGCGGAGGCGGTAGGCGGGCGTGGGGGATGTGAGCGTGTGGGACGCGGGCAAGGCGAGCATGTAGGAGGCGAGCGAAGAGGAGGCGCACGCGGAGTAGGGCGACGCGGCCAGGCGAAGGCGCGCCTGGCGCGCGCGGAGGAGGCAGGCAGGCGGGAGGACGCAGGCCAGGCGCAGGTGGATGGCGATGTGGGCGGAGAACGGCAACGCGGAGGAGGGCGACCCGGTGGCGCAGGCGTGGGGGACCCGTGTGAGGCGCAGGCGGACGGCGAGGTGGGTGGAGAAGGGTAACGCGGCGAGGCGGGCGCGGAGGAAGTGGGCGTGGAGGAGGCGGGCGCGGAAGAAGGCGAGGCGGCGACGAGTGACGCAAAGGGGGAGGGCGAGGACGTGGGCGAGACGAGGGCGGACGAGACGAGGGCGAGGCGGAGGCAGGCGACACGGAGGAGGCGACATGGGCTGGAACGACGCGGAGGAGGGGGAGATGAAGGTGGTGGGCAACGCGGCGGCGCAGATGGCCAAGGGGTGGGCGGAGCAGGGCGAGGAGGAAGAGGGCAGCGAGGAGGAGGGCGACGCAAAGGCGGGTGGCGGGGGCGGGCGACGCGGAGGAGGAGAGCGACGGGAGGGTCGGGCGGACGTCCTCAGGCCTGTCATGGCATGGGTGGGCGTTGGGAGTGCAGGAGAACGGAGCGGAGAACTCACTAAAACAAAGGGCCGCGGTACATCGCCGCGGCTCCCATATTCCAATCTCCATATTGAGGACGTCCGCATGGACGTCCTCGCGCGGTGTGTTTGTTGTGAGAGTGGCCGGGAAGGTGACTGAAGGGCGGGGTCGAGGTCGAGGTCGGGAGGTCGGGAGGTCGGGAGGTCGGGAGGTCGGGAGGTCGGTGTCACCTGGTGACACCGGAGTCCAATAGCAGGCGACAGTCGACCATATGGTCGCTATCGTCTACCTGGGCAGAGCGGGGAGGCTGGGGGCGACGAGGGTGGAGGAGGAGGAAGAGGAGGAGGAAGAGGAGGAGGGCAAGGACGGCGAAGGGGACGCGTGGCGTGCATCACAGCCACGCGTTGATGCGCGCCATTCGTCCTTGCCGCCCGCCAAGGCGCGTCTACACGGGCGCGCATCACGGATCACCAGGTGCATCTGTAGCTGCCGATAGGCTATGGCAACAGATGCTCCTGACGATTCACTGCTGCTCATCGTGCGTGCGTCCATTTGGCTTTGCCATCGCTTACATAACGACTTAGGCGTGCTTCTGCTGCACTGCTGATCAGCGAATCGGCGACCTCGCCGGAGTGCGTAAAAGCAAGAGGAATCGCCACGCTCCACGCACTAATACCCTCAGGTGCGCAACCTCGCGGCTTCTCCGCGAGGCCCTCGCGATTCATGCCACGAGGCGTGCACATCGTCACCGTTGACGCGCATGTGGACGCTCGACTCCGAGGTCGGCATTGAAACCGAGGTTGAGTAGACAGTGCTCGGTACTCAGTGACCCGGCGGGCTTCGGGCCTTCTGCAACCCCTGGGCACAGCTGGCGTCATGTAGGGCCCGTCGACTAGCCCGACTTTCCGCCGATCGCGAACCTATAAATCGCGCCTGTGATCCACCGCGGCGCCAGGGGATACCCGTTCCTACAGCTCCTCGTGGACGACGGGATGTGGTCAGTCTCATTGAGCAGCCTTCACAGCAACGCGCAGTTGCTAGTGGACCTATACAAACAGACGCTGCGTGAGTTCACGCACGTGGGGCTAGTGATCAAGACCGAAGAGACGGAAGCGTGCCAGTTCATGAGGAAAAGAACGGATGCAAATCCATCTCTCGACCTCGGGGAGGCATCCTTCACTGGGGACTCACCTTTGCAACCGGTCGAGGTGCTGCGGCACCTGGGCTTCTATCTGAACCGGAAACTAACTTTCCATCACCACGTGCGCGTGTACAGCGGGCGCGCAGCGAGCACGGCCCACTCCTTGGTCATGCTGGGGAATTCAATAAGGGGACACCACCCAGTCAGCGGCGGAAGTGGTACGTGTCGTGCGTCCTCTCCCTGATGACGCACGGCTGTCAGCTGTGGTACCGCCGCAAGGGGATCAAGTAGCACATGGAATACCTGAGAAAAGCGCCGAATACAGCGCTGAAGTGGGTGATCGGTGCGTTCAGAACGTCGCCGGTGGGCGATATGACGATCCTCGCGGGCATCCCTCCCGTGAGATTGAGAAGCTAGTGCGCAGAACGGGGCTCCGACGGCGTTGCACCCGACGCTCGCGGCGCTCCAAGAGCCCTGTGCGTGCAATCAGCTATCCCCAAAGTTAGCTTTTCCAATGGGGGAGAGAGCACCGCAGTCGGAGGACTCACCTCTCGTTCTGGTAGAAGAAGTGGGAACGACTGCACTGAGGACTTTTCCGCGCTCCATGCGGAGACACGCCCCAGCGTACGGACTTCTTTGGCGGACGACTCAAGTGGAACCTTGAGCACCCGAGGAAAGGCGCGGACGAGCTTGAGGCCTGTGTTGAAGGTCAGCTGAAGCCTCGCCTCGAAGAAGCAATGGTGAACAGACGCGCTGTGGTCGTCTTCGTGGATGGAGCTGTATACCCAAAGCCACACTGCCATAGTGGCGCGGCTTTTCGAGCGTAGCATTCGGGTAAGCTCTCCCGACGGCACGGCATTGCGTGCGGAGAGGCGACGTCGTACGACACCGAGATGATGGCGCAGCGGATGGGGCTGGGCTTCGCGACGAAGCTGAGACCATTCACATGGCGGTCGCAGATAATGCCAAGTCAACACTACGAACCATTTTGGACCTAGGACACCGGCATGCACGGCTAATAGCTCGTGTCCGTGATTGTGTGCCGGAAGGTCCGGGAATGGATGGAGAAGGACGAACGGAGACCCATCGTCTTCCATTGTTGTCCGTCACACGTGGGCATCGACTCAGTGGGACGAACGGGTGTACGAAGACGCGAAAGCAGGGGCCGACCTGCCTAGAGCAGCGAACGAACGCTCGCTCGCGCACGCGAAGCAACCTCCTCGCGGTCTGTCATGGGCTTGGTTATACTTCATTGCATCACTCTACATTCTCCATTACTCATTCTTGCTGCGCCTATAACAGCGTCGTTATTGGAGCTCTACTTCTCCTGTCTACAGTAGTACTTAGTCTCCGCATTCGCATTGTCTTATGCTAGCGAGCAACACGGCTCTTTCCCCCGTTTTCGCCCTTCCGCTCCGCGTGCGACCGTCACACGGGCCAACTGAAGTCCGGCTGTAAAAAACAGTACCGCGAGCACAGGGCATACACAGGAAAACACTTAGGGTGTTCGACTCACCTAAACACACCACGAGCGTCGCGCTTGAGGCTCACGGCGTATCAGTGAAGGATTGGATACAGGGTATGATATGTCATTATTGTATGACATAGAGTATAGAGAGACGACATATACTCCGAATGTTATTCTGAAAGTCGGAATTCGAAAAACAGTCGAGGAGTGATTGAGATATGACTTATGGGTCTAGCATGGCAGGTTGTACAGGCTTTCCTCAGTGCCCTAATTGTTACGGTCGCGCGGGCGAGGACTAGCGGGCGCGGAGTCGCGGACAAGAATAGACACCTGTACCTCACATCAATCAGGCCGGCTTAGCCCGTGGCACCGGGGGGGTGGCCCGGGTCAAGTAGACCTGAAACCGTGCTCCCCCGCACGTTTGAATAATTCGTCCAATAAACCCGAGCTGTTTCCCAACAGGGAAGTGCTCGAACGCCCTCCCTCCCAAGTCCCCCAGCCCATCACGTGTCCCCATCCTCCAGATCTCCCATCAGTCCGCGTTATCTCTCCCGCCCCCACCCGCGTTATCTCCCGCGCCCACGCCTACGTTATCTCCCGCGCCGGCGCCGGCGCCGCGCGCCTCCCTGCCCCGCCACCCGTGCTCGCTGTGCCCGACAGTGAGCTCGCTGTCCCTGCACCCTGCCTCCCCCTCCTCTCCGTTTCCCTCCGTTCTTTTTGTAATATACTTGTATTCAAAATGCGCACCTAATGGTACACAATTCGATGGCCACACCTTCCTGGGTGTGCCTGCACTGAGCCCTCAAACCTCCCAAAATGTGTGCAATACAGGAACATATACAAGCACTCAAATTATGGATAAGTCCTGCATCAGATAGTTGTATATGAGAGCTGCTCTATCATAAAATCGCAGGTGGATAGCTAGAGGGGTGCAGGTATGATGTCATATGTTATTTCAGAATGACATACCCCACAGTGACATGGTATATGCATATATCGTCTTATGTACACCCCGAATCGTACCTAGAGGTCATTCAGAGCGCGTTTCAAAAAGAAGCAAGTGAATAAACAATGTCGTGGTGAGGATATGACATATACACAGAAGGGGGAGTTGGCTCGAAAATGCGGCCTTCATATGTTTTTGTGTAGACCTCTGATCACTTCGCATTTTGTTGCATTACGTTTAAATGTATATGTAGAGCTCAGATCGTCGTTTTGGTGCTTATCGGTGAAGGATTGAAAACAGGAAATGGTATGTCATTATTCCATGACATAGAGTATAGCGAGACAGCATGTGCTCCGATTATCATTCTGAATGGCGGAATAGAACGGGGTGTTCTTCTACTCAGCGATGCAGAAGAAATCTTGAAGAATGGTTGAGAAGTGATTGAGATATGCCATATGGGTCCAGAATGGCAGGTTGCACAAGAACGCCCTTGAACCACCTACGCTACTTTGCACACTTCAAGCTCATATGGCATATCTCAATCACTTCTCAACCATTCTTCAAGATTTCTTCTGCATCGCTGAGTAGAAGAACACCCCGTTCTATTCCGCCATTCAGAATGATAATCGGAGCACATGCTGTCTCGCTATACCTATGTCATGGAATAATGACATACCATTTCCTGTTTTCAATCCTTCACCGATAAGCACCAAAACGACGATCTGAGCTCTACATATACATTTAAACGTAATGCAACAAAATGCGAAGTGATCAGAGGTCTACACAAAAACATATGAAGGCCGCATTTTCGAGCCAACTCCCCCTTCTGTGTATATGTCATATCCTCACCACGACATTGTTTATTCACTTGCTTCTTTTTGAAACGCGCTCTGAATGACCTCTAGGTACGATTCGGGGTGTACATAAGACGATATATGCATATACCATGTCACTGTGGGGTATGTCATTCTGAAATAACATATGACATCATACCTGCACCCCTCTAGCTATCCACCTGCGATTTTATGATAGAGCAGCTCTCATATACAACTATCTGATGCAGGACTTATCCATAATTTGAGTGCTTGTATATGTTCCTGTATTGCACACATTTTGGGAGGTTTGAGGGCTCAGTGCAGGCACACCCAGGAAGGTGTGGCCATCGAATTGTGTACCATTAGGTGCGCATTTTGAATACAAGTAATTACAAAAAGAACGGAGGGAAACGGAGAGGAGGGGGAGGCAGGGTGCAGGGACAGCGAGCTCACTGTCGGGCACAGCGAGCACGGGTGGCGGGGCAGGGAGGCGCGCGGCGCCGGCGCCGGCGCGGGAGATAACGTAGGCGTGGGCGCGGGAGATAACGCGGGTGGGGGCGGGAGAGATAACGCGGACTGATGGGAGATCTGGAGGATGGGGACACGTGATGGGCTGGGGGACTTGGGAGGGAGGGCGTTCGAGCACTTCCCTGTTGGGAAACAGCTCGGGTTTATTGGACGAATTATTCAAACGTGCGGGGGAGCACGGTTTCAGGTCTACTTGACCCGGGCCACCCCCCCCGGTGCCACGGGCTAAGCCGGCCTGATTGATGTGAGGTACAGGTGAGGATAGACGCACGCGTGCAGGAGAGGGATGAATTAGGTAGGCGCGGCCGGCGTAGCCGGGTAAGGACTAGTCTTGGCGCCAGACGCCCTGAAGGCGCCCGCGTGGGCTGAGGAGCTCTCTGCACGGGCGCTCACAACATCAACCGGTTTCTCGCTTATCACACAGCTATCATTTTTGTTATCCATGCCTAAGATCACCGTGTAACATCAAGTAAGTACGTCCACTTATACTTTTCCCTCTCCTTGCACCGTTCTAGCACTGTGAGCGCCTGTGCGGGGAGCTCCTCAGAGGGTCTGGAGCCGAAACTAGGGATTACCCGGGAACACTGATTTATGAAAACGTGAGCTGAGCGGGGGCCCATTCGATATCGAGGATCAAGTGGTGTCACGTTAAGTAGTGACATGGGGGTGACAAGCGCGCTTGCCTAGCTGCACTGCACTTGCGCTTCACCTGTTTGCCGCTCCTCAGCGACGAGCGTCCCCATTGCTGCTCCGTCCCCGCTCCTCCTTCTCATCGCTCCGACGGCTCGATGTGGCGAGGGCTGCACTCGAGCCCGTCTGGGACTGCCTTCAACTCTCCGCCTCCGCCACGGTCCTTCCCCAAGGCATCAAGCTCACCGGAACATCGACCACGACAGGCGGCGACGACGACCTCCGGCTGCGGCGTGGTGTCTGGCCGAGCGAGGAAGTGACATACGCTCTGATGGAGGGGCTCGATGCCCTGACCAGTGAGCGTGTGTCATGTTCCTTGCGCGTCCGCGACGACCTCCACGACGAGGGCCACGGTGAAGACGACGGACGGCTCTCCGGTCCACCCCGCCGACCCTCCAGCGTCCCCTCCGACCCTCCAGCACCCCGCCTGCCCCAAGCGCCGTCGCCGACTTACCGCTGCTCTGTGCCACTCCAATGTCCCCGGTCCTTCCCCCAAGGCATCAAGCCCACCGGAACATCGACCACGACCGGCGGCGGCGACGACCTCCGGCTGCGAGGCGTGGTGTCTGGTCGAGCGAGGGAGTAGTACGCGCTCTGATGGAGGGGCTCGATGCCCTGACCAGTGAGCGTGTGCCATGTTCCTTGCACGTCCGCGAAGACCTCCACGACGAGAGCCACGGTGAAGACGACGGCTCCCCCGGTCCACCCCGCGGACCCTCCAGCGTCCCCGCCTGCCCCAAGCACCGTCGTCAACTTACCGCTGCTCTGTGCCACTCCGGTGTCCCCGGTAAGTGCTCTCGTCTTTGTGTTTGCGATCCTTTGTTCAAACGTTCACGCTTCGCCCCCCCTCGTCCCTCCGTTCCCCTCCAGGCCGTCACCATAAACCGGTCTTCGTTTGTCCTCCACCTAGCGCGCGTTTGCCCCGCGAGCGTCGCGACGCACCTCTATGCACCTTTCCATTCGGTACGTTAGGCCTTCTTCCATGTGTGCACCCGGTTGTTCACCCGGCCTCTACCGCTTCCTGCCTGCCCATTACAGCACAGTTATCCCCACCATCATTCTCGTTCGTTGTTCTCCGTGTCTATTTTGCCTGCGTTGCGAGTTTTGCAGCATTGCTTTGTGTTCTGGTCTTCATTGTTGTTAGGGTCTTAGGCAGCTCAGCACACAAAAGCCGTTTCATCTTGAATACAATTTTTCATGCATTATCTACGAGATCCTCGCACGTGTGAAATGATTTGCCGCAAGCTGTTGCCTGTTCACCGTCGTTTCCGTGACCGACTGCACAGAATTTGGGTTGTCGCGTTGCCTGCTCTCGCCAGATGTGCATCCATTTGGAATGTCTGCCATGTACTGCTTTGACTTCTCACCACGACAATCATGTATCGCCAAAGGACACGCGAAAGGTCAGATTTTGACGACTTCATGCTGCTAACGGGATGTTTCTGTTGCGTGATAGGACAACCCCGAAACCTCTTTGCTTCCTTATTGTCTCATAGGTTTGTTTGTTAGTGCGTTCAGATATATGGCCCTACCATTCCACTCAGGGTGCCCTCACCCTCTACATTCCCAATGTCCAGCGACGATGCCCCCGCCCCATCCCGACTTCAGATATCCACAGGAGTGGGGCATTCTGATCGTGTTGAGCTTGAGTTGGATCGCCTCAGACAAGAAGTTCACCAACTGGTATGTTTGTCCGTTGACCATACGCCTACGAACTTCAACTCCCACGAATAGATGTCAAAAAACTTTTCCGCAGAGGTTGTAAAGAACGTAAGCTTCAATCTGACGCCTCATTGATGATGGTCTCTTTGTTCAAGCCAGTTCCAGATGTACGTCTACGCCACAAAAAAGGGGCAAAAACGCAGGCGGTCCTCCAGCCCAGACGATATGAAAGACAATCGTCACGTGAAACGACCGAAAGGAGAAACGATTGCTCGGGTTCGTCTACCACCATGTTGACTATAGGACCATTCTCATTATCCATCATAGATGTTGATACATTTCACTCCGGAACAGCTACAGAAGGTTAGTGCACGGCTCTGCTCACCGAGCTCGTGTAATGACCCATCGCCAGCTCTACTTCAAGCTTGGTTCATTCGGGCCACCGTCCCTCGAGCAGCCCGGCCCCGTTCTTCCCGCACCACCGTCCTTCGAACAACCCGGCCCCGCCGCTCCCCTGCAGCCCGGCCCCGTTCTGCCCGCCGCTCCCCCCCCCCCCCCCCCCCTCGCAGCCCGGCCCCGTTCTCCCGCCCACCTCCTTCGAGCACCCGGCCCCGCCCCCCGCCCCCCGTTCTTCCCGCACCACCTCCCTCGAGCAGCCCGCCCCCCTGCCCCCGTCCCTCGGCAGCCCCGGCCCCCGTTCTGCCCGCCGCTCCTTGGCAGCCTGGCCCCGTTCTTCCCGCACCACCGTCCTTCGACAACCCGGCCCGCCGCTCCCCTGCACCGCCCCTCCCCCCCACCCTCGCAGCCCGCCCCTTCTCCCCCCCCCCCCGGCCCCGCCGCCCCCTGCGCCCCCCCGCCCCCCCCCCGCCCCCCCGCCCCCCTCCGCGCCCCCGTTCTTCCCGCACCACCTCCTCGAGCAGCCCGGCCCCGTTCTTCCTGCACCACCGTCCCTCGAGCAACCCGGCCCCGCCGCTCCCCTGCAGCCCGTCCCCGTTCTGCCCGCCGCTCCTTGGCAGCCCGGCCCTGTTCTTCCCGCACCACCGTCCTTCGAGCAGTCCGGCCCCGCCGCTCCTTTACAGCTCGGGCCCGTTCTGCCTGCCGCTCCTCCGGCCCCGCCACCGTTCTTCAGGCATGCATTACCCACCTCTCCTCCTTGGTCCACAATGTTGCAGTCATGCCCGCTTTTCCAGCGGCACCACCGTCCTTCGGGCGTATGGGTGCTTTATTGCAGGCTTCGCCTCCGGTCGCGCCACCCTTGGGGAAACCTGCCCCCGTGGTGCCCACATATCTTTCGGTCGCACCGCCGTCACATTTCGCCCCCCCAGCCGTGCTGCCGACCTTCAGGGAGAGCGATTCTCATTGGCCGTCCTATTCTGTGCCCTCTTCCAACCCTCCGATGTCTTCGGATCAATCAGACATAGAGATGGGCGAGGACGGTGGCACTCCCTCCCCTGTAGTCGCTCCCGAAGCCGAGGTCGCCCATTCAATCCAGATGAAAATGCCTGGAGAGGGCAGCACTGGGTCACCACCACATGTACCACGTACTGCCTGTAATGTTTTTCCATTAGTTGGCGCGTCTCAGGGCTTCCCAATCGATAACCCCAAGGGCAAGTTTAAAGCTTCCCATCGCAAATCCAACCGCCCCGATACTCACGGTCGCAGAGGACACACGGCCACTGACAGCGAAGCCGACCAACCCGAAATACACAACAATGGCGATGATGGCGAAGTATGTGCTTTTGTTCGATCGGTTTGGTCTGTGCTTCTGAGCTGACAGGAAATACATTCATAGCGTTCAGAAGAAACTCCTACATGGGCCACAAAGCTTATGGAATTCATCGAAGGCATTGCCGCACAGACGAGTCTCGTTGCTACAACAGTAATTTCGACACGAAAGGACGTGGCTATTGTCAGGTGAGCATGTTGCTGTCATGTTTTTTTTCCTGACTACTCACCTCGAGCAGTCATCGTATCGATTCAGTTGACGAACGCATAGACGAGCTTATCGCTAGCGATCGCGTCAATGACGTGTCAAGCACCATGACACCCCAGGCAAAAAAAGCGGGTCGCCCATCGAAGTCGTCGCCGCAAAAGTGGCCGCCGAATCGGCAGAGCGAGAAAGATATTGTTTCGTCCTGTTCACCGCCCTCTCGTACACGACGAAAGAAGGCCCCTTCGATGGACGATCTAGTCATCATCCCGTTTGACCAACCGGACACACCAGTGGTACGGCAACAGGAGAAGGCGAAGCTACTCACTCTGCAGGTATGGCTGTTTCAACGTGCCATTAGGCCATGCTCACACATCAATCGCATGCAGAGAGCAGTCCGTATGCACGTCGCGGAGCTGTTCGGCGAAAAATCCCCTGAAGAGCTCGCTGACCAGACGGTATCTGATGAAGCGAAGCGAGACTTCCAAAGACGACGGGACTCGTACTTCACAAGAGACACTTTCCAGGTGGATTTCGACGAAAACCAATCTTTGCAACGTTCAAAAAGCTCCCGCTTCAGCTGGAACGAAGGTGCCAAGAAATTTTTCGTCGCGGATGCCTTGAGCGAACTCGCTGGTACTCCGACTGCATCCGTAGTCACAGCAACGTACCTTACTGTGAACTGCGTCGAGGCTGCTTACGACAAGATCATACGCTCATACAGAGATAAAATTTCGGCAGCGAAGAAGAACAGGACCAAACCTGAAGAAGAACTGATTCGGAAGAAAGCCCGAATAACATCACGGCGTGGCACGGTGCGCATACCACCCCAACGTCGTTTCATTTCGTTGACATTATTGTGTAGCTTCGTACGTCGCGCTACAACACTGCGTCCGAATCTGCCAGAATTTCGAAGCGCCATGTGAAGCTCATACTCCGCATTCCTGCGAAATGCATGAGCGACGATGAGTCGGCTTACGAGGATTCGGTGGATCCACATGATGGGAAGAAGACACAACATCTGATCTTCCCTCCGCAGTTCAACATCGTGAATGCCTCCTGGATGAGTGAAGAATTGCGCAATCTCCTCCACTCTATCGATTACGTGGCCCGCACGGGGCACAGGAAGGGGGGAAGTGTACCACGCAAGAGAGCACTGCCGACATCGGGTGCTAATGAGGTCGACAAGGAGGCTCCTCGAGGTCTTCCTAAGTCCTGCTACGATCCCGCATGGCTACGATCTCTGAACGATGGTGAGAAAGACGGACTGAAAATGGGTGACGCGCCCTATGATTTCTCGCTCTATGATGAGCCCAACAGACAAGTCGGCGACTATCCGTGGCCATATTTAGGGGAAGACAACGATTCCGATAGCAAAGACAGCGATTCCGATGGCAATAATGAGGAAGAAGACTTCACGGAAGGTGGGGGTATTAGCCTCGTCGTGCATGCCGATGCTAATTGAGACACTTTTAGATATGAACTTTTAGTCCCCAGCGCTGGCGCTATTCCGGTCCACCTGCAGACACCTCAGGGCGCAGACCTACGATGGCTGAGTGTCCATAGAGCCTCCCGACCACACCATTATCTCTGTCTTAAATGCGCTGATACGTCCCTGTCTTCCTGCTTCGGCTACTTCTCTTCCTCTTCGTGTAAAATCCTTTCGTACCTGCATCAATCTTCCCTCACAGTCCTTTGACGCAATCTATGACGCAATGCACTCCTCATAATATTGGCTCGTTTCTCACACTGTTCATGCGTCTACTTTTATCATAACAATTGTGCGCATCGTACCAAACTACCTCCGGTGCGAACTAACAACAACCGCGCCTCTACCAATCCACGCGCCGTACCACCCGTGCTCCGACGGTGAGACCACGGCGCGCCCGTTCGAACATCGTCGAAACAGCAGGGCCGAGCCGGAGTGAATGCGTATGGCCGCGGCTGAAGGGTGACGGTTGTCAGCGTAGTCGCAGTCACTTAAAGCCACATACGAACGCAACGAGGACGCGTTTAGGCGGATGTCGAGCTCTCCGACGCACGGCGACCACGCTCAGACGAAGGGGAGGGCGGATGACCTGCTTACAGACGACTTTCTCGGACAGCCCGCTGGCGGCTGGCCTGTCTGCTCTATGCAATTGCGCGTGGAGGAAAAGACGCACGTGATCTCCATGCGCTGGACACGAGGGCGGTGATGATGTGGCATAATAATTAATAAATACGACCCGCCCACCTCTTGTCTGGTTGCCACGTCATAGCTCCTCTCTTGTTCGATTCTCGCTGCCCTTTGATCCAGCAAAATCTCATGATCTCGCAGACTGTTCCGTGTTGCGAACTGCGAAGTTCCAAGGATTTGGTCGCCTTTCAGGGGTTTCCATCTTGTATGGAATGTGCCTCCAACGATCCTGATGGCTGTCGCTTTCAAGGTCGGTATTGTACGTATCTGGATGTTACGACAAATCCTCATCACATTCCATCTCCCAGATTATCGACACGTAGATGGCGAAGAAGTCCTGTTTCACCACACGCACAGCAATGACCCGCACTTTGCAAGAAAATTTGATCGACCGCCGAACAAGTTGGACGTTGGAGCAGTTTGTGTGAGTTCCTGAATGAGCCAGTATTTTGAGTCTCTCTTACGTGAAAGTATCGTCCAGACCGTTGTCATCAAACATCTACTCCCAGTTCTCAAAGCAGAGCTCGATCACATCGGTGGAGTAGCACACAATTACTTCAGGATCGATCCTGCAGTCCTGGTAACCTGCGGTGAGTCCGTCACTATCATGCACCACTGTGATTAATGTTCCCTTGATCCGTAGATGGGTGCTGTGGTGCGCTGTTCGCGCAATCCTGGCAGTGTATAACATGTGGAGCGGAGCTGTGTATTGGCTGCTTCAATCGCCTCCCTTTAGAGGTAATACAACGCTCAAAGATTCGCCTTATCTCGCTCATCACCGCCATTGTCTTCAGTCTCCCGGCATCCTGAAAGATGCCCTGACATGTACCGCTGAACGCTCGCCCTCACACGCTCAGAGCCATTTTCGCCCATACACCCAGTTTACGGAAGAGGAGCTCACCAAGTTGATCGAAGATATGGAAAATCAAGTTCCGGTACTTGACAGGTGACTCGTTCCCAATATGTGTGGCGCCATGTTGACCCTAGTAGTCCAGTGCCTGAAGCTCAGCATCCTACAGACGGAACGCCGTTATGGTGCTCCCTAACATCAAACAAGTCGGAGTTCATGGCGCAGTGGAGTCCCAGCTTCCCCATGATCGTGACTGGATTGGATGGTAGACTGGGCCGAGAATGGGGCCCCGACCGGTTGATCTCTGAGTTCGGCCACCTTGATGTCACGCTTATAGATTGTACAACCGGTGAGGAGCGCAGTCGACCTTGGAAGGCCAAAACATTTTTGAAGACTCTTCGCAATGGCGACACTTCGAAGGGGGTATTCAAGGTCAAGGTGAGCGATTACCATATGCTCCATCTAGGCAACTCACACATCTCCTTTCAGGATTTTCCTCCCAATGCACACTTCAGAGACCTGTTGCCAGGTTTTTACTCGGATTTGAAGATGATGCTCCCTGGGCCGTTCAGAGATGTTGCGGCTGTGGATGGTGTCAGGAACCTCTCCGCTCACTATCCCCTCAATGGGAATGCGCCGGATCTCGGTAATGTTGACATGCTCTGGGGCCTGAAGTACATGTTGAAACTGATCATGTAACAGGGCCCAAATTCTACATCGCACAACACAATCCGGATTCGACCTCGAGGATGGGGACCACGAACCTCCATCTCGATGTCACGAGTGCTATCAATATCATGCTGTGGTCTCTCGGCACCGGGGTTGGCGCCGTTTGGACCCTGTTCAGTCCTCAAAGCCTACTCGCGCTCCGCGGATACATGCGCTCAGTATTTTCTCATCTTCAAGGGGCAGATCCTATTCACAGTCAAAGTTGCTTTTTGACTAAGGACATGCTCGATGAGCTGAAATCTCAGGGGGTCGACTACGTAGTGGTCGAACAGCACGTAGGCACTGCCGTTTGGATACCAGCTGGCTGGGCTCACCAGGTGAATGGACATTGAACACAGTATACGCACCTGAACGCTGACGACACCAGGTCATCAATAGTCAGAGCTCTATCAAGGCGGCCTGGGACTTTCTGTCTACAGATAGTGTCCAGTCATCCTTCAACTTGCTGTCAGAGCAGGCAGAATATCGACGCTGGAACTCGGGTCATCCGGCTGATGTGCTTCAGCTGCATAACATGTTGTACTATGCGTGGCTCTCTGTCTCGAATTTCCCACCTGGAGACACATACAGCAGTAGGTCCCATTCCCTTGACGGTCGGCATCTAGTAATGTTCTTCCAGGTACCAGTGGTTTCGATCGCGTGCATGACACACAAGAGGCTCCGGTGACTTACGCACGATCTCATGCGCTAACATAGTGTGGGCGTGCTGACTTTGTTGAATCGCAGCAGCCCTCAGGCTTCAACAAGAGAGCCGCGCCGGAAGCTACGAGTAGGCGACGGAACAAGAGGGTGAAACACTTGCCGACGATCCTGGACGGCAAATTGATCAACACCATGTCAGCGTATAAGAGCGCCATGAAACAGAAGATCCAAGAGCAAGGTGGTGGCCCACTGCCGGGAAATCGAACCAATCACAAGTGCCACTGGTGCGGTGCAAGTGGTTTGTTAAGAACAGGTGTGCTGGACCATATGTGAGTGAGCCACGCGCATAGAGGGTTTTTCATCGCTCCAACACATGCACAGGGCTACCAAGCACGTGGGAGTTATGAACGAACAGATCTACCTCCATCTGTTTGATCCCTGTGTTGCTCTTGATGAGTTCAACTCCCGGCTGGAGCTTGCTTACCCGGTCAAGAGGTTCGTTGTCTCTCTCCAACTTGGTTGCACCTATAGCTCAAACTTTCTAGGGAGTTGCGGCGCGTTGGTACCTCAACTGACTGAGTATGCGTGGTTGCCGTTGATGGGTACTTTCTGCCTCGGTACACCTCCGCTCGTATATACACCTACTCGTGCCTGCCCCGATGACCACTATCGCTTGTCGTCGGTGATATGTATCCACCGCCGCTGGTACGTGCACGCGTCCGTCAGACGCCCGCGCGAGCTCCGCGCCCGAGCCCACTGTACATCCTCGTCCCTCGTCTCTACGGCACGCCACACCGACCCTCGCGATCGTTCCGGCTTCATGTTTAGCCACACATCCACACGCGTTTCTTCTCCTTTTCGTCCCCTCGAATACCTCATTCCACGGCCTCCATGGTCAGCCCCACTCGTTGCCCCGCTCCGCCACTTGTTTCTCACATCTTCAGCTGCTCGCCATGAAACTCTGACTCGTAGATACGTTTTGGGTGTTTGTTTCGGTCGTAGTCACGCTCTCGCGCAGGCCACATTCGCATGCATTTAGAATCGACTCGCGCTGCATGCTATCTAGTTCATTTTCCTCGCAATCCTGTGTGTGCATTGTGTGCTCACTCCTCGACTTCGCCTCTACTCGACCTCGTATCGTCTCATATCATCTTCGTCGCTCATCGTCATCGTACTCGCCGCCTATCGCCCATCGCCCATCGCCCGTGCGCGCCCCCTCGTCCGCTGATACGCACCCAGCTCCGCTGAGCGCGTATGTATACTGTACGTCCGGCGCTCGTTATGTCCTCATCCGCGCATTACCATCCCGACCACCTCCGCTGTTGCTGTTGCTACACTGCTTACATACGCACTAGTATATCTACTGTAGCTCGCCGTCGTCGCAATACAGCTTCCCTCGTCCGGTTTGGTGCCGGAGAGCGTCGTCTCACCCCAGTTCCCGTCTGTCTTTGGCCCGTGTGTCAGTCTAGTCTCCGTCTCCGTCTCCTTGTTTCGTCTCCGCCCACGTCCTATCTTCCGCCTCTCTTCCTCTTCTCGGTGCTTCCCACTGGCGATCCTCTTCCACTCGCACACCGTAGCTGATGATGGAGATGATGATGGATCCGTGCCAGAGCTCGTTACCTACACGCGTAGTGCTAAGTACGTTCAGTAATCGGAACGGGACGGCGGCTATCCCGCGTTCGGTTGACGCCGTAGTGGCACGGGACCACGGCCTGAGCCAGTGTGGTGAGTCGCACACCGTAGCGCAACCCCCGCGTTGCCCTGCACATCACCGCGTCTATCGCCTCTCTGCTTCTCTTCCTCTCCTGTCCTCCGCGTTCGCGAATTCCGTCCCCTGGTGCTCGTTCACTCGTCCGACTTCCCGCGTCTCACGCCTACACGGACTCGACCTCGGCCCTCACCCCTTGCAACTCTTACCGGTGTTAGCATCATATCATCGGACGTTTACTACGTGATGGGATGCTAACGCCGGGAGGCGCGCGAAAGGGGATGAGAAGGGGATCGCGTGCGTGCTCATCGAGCTTATACTGCGGACAATTGGCCCGGCGCGAGTGGAGAAGACGAGCGCGTGAAGGAGTGGGATGAAACGCGCTGCGCGCGGGGACGATCTGGAGGACAGCAGGACGGCTGAGGCGAGGACGGTGGCGGAAGACCGATATGGGGAAGGCGCGCGCGAGCGGCGTGGTGGTGGTGGTGGTGGTGGCGACGTCTCGAACTCGTAGGGGGGTGCGTGTGTCGATGCGCGCTGCGTGAGGTAGTGGACTTGAGCCGGATGATTTGGTACGAGGCGTGCCGCGCGGCATGCGCATCATCGGCCCGCGCGAGCGACAACACGTGTGCGCAGCACTCCCGTCCTCGCTGCTCCTCCATGTGCGCGCGGCCCCGCGCTGCACACCTGCTGGCTGTGAACACGAACATAGCAAGCGCAGTAGCACCCACGCCGTATCTATTGGCCGGACGCGTACCGCACATAATGCGATCACAGTTGAACGTTGAGTGGCACGTCGCCCTGAAGGCATGCAACCGCAGGCAGCATGAGAAAGGAATCACGATGATCAGGCGCTGCCCACCGCATGCTGTCCGCGGAGTTCCGATCGAGCGGCGGACCCCTCCGATACTTCGACTTTCAGTGCTCCGATTTCGGGAAGCAGACCTCCCGAGCGTCGACTGTGCTGTAAGTACTGCAATTTTACCGAAGGCTCGGCACAGAGCGACTTGGAGACCACAGATCCATATGACCGAGTTCGCGTGGCGCATCTTCTGGCTCCGGAAAGAGCGGAGAAGGCATGTGAACTCTGCCACTTGCGAATCAAAGGCGTTTGAACACATGGCGTTGGGCAAAACGCGTGCCCCCTCTCCTTTGTGCCTTATGCCACTCCTAGCGCGGCATATCTTCGAAACGATGCCGGCGCTCCAGCCCACCCATCAGCTGCCCCTTACACCCCATCATGCCCACCCTCTTCGACCTCGCCGAAGAACTGGCACGAGACCGCACAGCAGAAGCAAGCGGCGATCCAGAAGACAGAGGTACGAGTTACTTACGTGGGCCACAATAACATGGTTCTTACTGCCCGAGTAGATCTTCATTGGAATGGAGACATCGCGAGATACAACCCGGCCCGGGACCCTGCTCTTACGAACTCGTTCACAGCTCTCTTCTCGAATCCGGCATACTGGGGCTCTCACCAAAGCGAAGTGCTGAAATATCCACTTGCTTTTCCCGACTCCTCGCTCGCTCGAGGCCCTCTCCCTCTCCCCATATCATGTTGCTGGAACCACCGCGATCAAGATGAGCTCTCAGGCGAACTCATCGTTCCACTCGCCGGTCCACTTATCGTTGTCAAACACGGCCACTGCGCCCACCCGGAGGATACTCTACGCTTCCGATCCATTCTCCCGTGCCTCATGCAGACCGTCTTTACTTTTGAGGGCGAGGAAGGGCTCCCCGCGCGGACCTTCGAGGCCAGGTCTTGGGAGGACGTCCTCTCAGATGAGACCTTCAGCGTACCCGTCCCTCCTCCGCTCAGGAACGCCATCGCGCTGTACATCCGTGACGACCCAGAACACGCGCTCACTCGATATCTCCTTAATCGTGCCCACTTCGATCTAGGACGATTCCTATCCTTCTCCGTCTACCCGAACCCCGGTCCATCTTCCTTCGCGACCCCGTGGAAAATATTCGTCATCCTGGGGCAAGATCTCCTCCATGGTCAGCCGTCTTTCAACGAGGTGGTCCGTATCCGGGACGCAGTTCTGACCGAGTTCCTCCAACGCCTGCGGAACGACGATCATTTCCGGGACTGTGCGCTCCGGCTCATGGCCGCCCACCAACTCCCGGACCTGGAGCTCATCACCATTGAGCAATTCCTCCGCACGATCCACATCCAGCCTGTCGAACTCGGGGATCGTGACGACAATGGCCCGTTCGGCCTCCTTCTCTTGGCACTCCCCTTCACCATAGTCATGCACTCTTTCCTCGTTCTCCTCATGAAACGCGCCATCTGCGGAGGGCGCACCTCGACCACGCAAGTAGATGGGGTGGAGATGACTCTGTACGAGGACAATAGCCCGCACCCCATCATTCACTGCTGTGCATGCGGATCGGACCTTCATCTCCAAAGCCACTGCCCCCTTACGACTGCCCCCTCGTGGTCGGGGTTCCGCCCTCCAGCACAGGGAATGCCGAACGCTGTATCGTACCACGGCCCCGTCGAGGACATGGTGACCGCGCACGAGTGCTGGGCCAACTTGTTCCTACCAGACTTTCTCCGAAACTAGTCTGTATACACATATGCACGAGTACCGCACCATCGCCACTCGTACCCAAGTCGCGCCTCATTGTCACTATTTCCGCGGCTTTGTATGACTCGGGAAGGCCCTCTACTCGTACTATACGGGCAGCATGTATTTATGCTCGCGTTTGACTTTGTGTTATACATCCCGCGGCGCGTTGTATCTGTCCCTTCTGCTCTATTCGACTTCGCGAGCCTCTCATTTACGCGAGCTCGCTCTTTCACCCTCACTCCTGTTGGCTCATACCGGAGTTGAATGCACATCACCGTGAAGCCTGGGACGTCCTCTGCACTGACTGGGCTGAACCCAGGGCCCTCCACTCCATCGCGCCGTGTTCGCGTTTAGTTTGGCGAGACCATATCCTCTCCCTTGAGCCGCGCCAACAACTCGTCCTCCGCGCCCAGTCACTGGTACATACCTCCGCGGGCGGCATCGAGCCCGGTGCTGGTGTGCCGTTCATCATCTCCAGTCACGTTCCCACTCACGTTTCCCTTTCTACGCTCCATCACCACCTCCGTCTTCCACATCTCCTCCAACAGCCGCGATTCAACGTGGACGAAGAGAGCCATAGGGGCGAAAGGACGCCGGATGGCGGGTAGGGTGTCGGATACGACGACGATGGTGGATGAGATGATAGAATGGATATCGATCGAGGACACGCATCGCACAGCACTATGCCGCCGTATCGTCCTAGATCGATATCCATTCTATCATCTCATCCACCATCGTCGTCGTATCTGACACCCTACCCGCCATCCGGCGTCCTTTCGCCCCTATGGCTCTCTTCGTCCACTGCTCGATTCTTCACAATGCAGATCTCAGGAACTCAGCCTGTGTCGGCCCAGGTGCCCAGGCTCTCGATGATTCGAATTTGATTTCCGATGGACGGCGCTACATGTACAATACGAAAACTAGAGCTACTAAAGAAGAAGACACATTAACAGGTTGCGGGAGGGCGGGTAGCTCGAAGATGCTCGAGTCGCGCTGGCGGCAGTGAGCTCCCAGCGGACGGGCGCGAGGGGCTAGTCTACTCACCCCGCGGCAGCACGGAATAGATGAGCTGACGTGGAGTCATGACATAATCACCCGCCTCCTCCTCCCATCGCCCTCGTCATACTGTCCGGGAGAGGGGCCCCGTCGCGGCGGGGCGCCCGCTAGGGGCTACTGCAGTCCCGGGCTTTCACGCGGGCGCGCGCGTCAGGGCCCGCCGGCGCGTCGACGACCATGACGACATCGGAGTCTAGGTGCGTGTCGGCGCAGCGTCGGAGCCTGTTGGGCGCTTCGATGTTTATGGGTGGGGATGAGTTCGTACGCGGTGAGTACGTAGTACCTCGCGCTCGTTCGGCCAAGTTCCAGTTGTCGCTGGCCGTCCGTGCCATCGATCCAACTTGTGTAAACATGTTTAAACCGCGATTATTTCTCGCAGCGGCTCCGTCGGGCCTCGCGGCGCGGTGCATCGCCACCGTCGTGCTGTGGAACGCCTCGTGCGGGGCGACGTGAAGTACTGCGCGCGATCCTCGTTTTCGTCAACAACGCGCTGCAGCCTGCAGGTTGTGCTCTACACATCGCTCGCGCCGCTCTTTGTCTCTTTGTGAACCGGCCGGCGGCGCGCGCTGCGGGACCTCAACATCCCGCCCCTCACGGTGGAGTTAAGCCATTCTGTTCCATAGCGTATATATCACCCCCTTTACCGATAAGGGAACGACGTTAGTGTGATGCAGGGACGCACAAAGGAAGAAGACAAAACAAAGTGCGGCACGGGGAGGCGCTACAACAACAATGCACGAATGCGCTCCATTGTGCTCCAGATCGTGAACAAACACGTAAGTCGCGCCCGCGCTACCTTTTAGACCGGCTTCGTCCATATTGAAGCGCCGATGTGCTGATACTCAATCACGCGTCCCCTGGAGCAGGGATTTATATAAGCAGCCGCACTGCTCGATCTGCACCAAGGCCTTCGTCGCCAACATGTACCTCCTTATACTCGTATCTCAACACTTGCCACCTCCTTCCGGCTCTATCGACAATGTGCCCTGGCTACTCATGACCGGATACAAACATATCGGTGTCTTTGGCACTTTCACGGGTCCTCCAGGGGCTCTTGCCGACTTCAACGACTCGGTCGCTATCGTGAGTGGCCACTCCACCTTTGTATATAGCTCGGTTCTGATCCCATAAAATCAGCCTTGGCAAAGTGACGACGGAACATACATATTATTGCTATGTGGATCGCATGCCGTAGTGGATGTTGCTAAGATTACATCGGAGGGTTTGGCTGCCTGAACTTGTAAATACACCGGTTCGATAGAGGCAGGGGGCGCAGCTCGGACTAATTCCCTGCGGAGGTTATAAACATAAAGGGTACGAATGTATGGATGCATAAGCACTGCCAGCGAGTTGTGCCCTGAGTGGTACATCAACTACAAGACATCAGTTACCACATGCCCTTGCATCGCACCCGTGTTGGCAAAGTCACTCAGGGGTGCGAGCCGAATGCGCGCAGGTTGCTTGCGCAGCTGTGACAGCAGGCGAGCGGTCAGGCCCCTGTCCTAGGTTAGGGTCTCTGCTACAGGCACAAGCCTCCAAAATACGGTACGCTAGTCTTAATACCACCATCGTCGCTACGCCCGGTGTTGTGTCCCCGCTATAGACGTAGATCTGACACACCTACGACAGCCTCAAGACATCTGCCCACTGCCTTCGTAGACATTGCCGTCCCGATCGGAGTCCCGCTCCGACGGCTCGTTTGTGGCGAGGGCTACACTCGAGCCCGTCTGGGGATGCCTTCAACTCTCCGCCTCCGCCACGGTCCTTCCCCAAGGCATCAAGCTCACCGTAACATCGACCACGACCGGCGGCGGCGACGATATCGTGCTGCGCGGCGTGGTGTCTGGCCGAGCGAGGAAGTGACATACGCTCTGATGGAGGGGCTCGATGCCCTGACCAGTGAGCGTGTGTCATGTTCCTTGCGCGTCCGCGACGACCTCCACGACGAGGGCCACGGTGAAGACGACGGACGGCTCCTCGGTCCACCCCGCCGACCCTCCAGCGTCCCCTCCGACCCTCCAGCACCCCGCCTGCCCCAAGCGCCGTCGCCAACTTACCGCTGCTCTGTGCCACTCCAGTGTCCCTGATCTGATCCACCTGACCGCCTGCCGGTGCGGCTCCACTCTTGGTGAGCTGCATCGTCTTTGTGCTTGTGGTCCTTTGTCCAAACGTTCACTCTCCCCTCCCCCGCGTCCCTTTCTGCAGTCCGTCACCGTGAACCGGTCTACGTTTGTCCCCCAACTAGCGCGCGTTCGCTCCGCGAGCCCCCCCCGCCGTGACGCCTCTTCGCGCTTCTTTGTTCACTCTCCACTCCTCCCTCGCATCCTCCACCTAGCGCGCGTTTGCTCCGCGTCGCGACGCCCCTCCACGCCCCTCCACGCCCCTCCACGCCCCTCCACGCCCCTCCATGCCCCCTCCACGCTCGGCAAGTCCGTCCGTTTTTACGTTTGCACTCGTTTGTTCATCCTTCCAATCCCCGCAGACCTCTTTTTTCGCCCTTCACTCCCTCGCTAGTCACCCACGCTCCTTTGCATTCTTCTTGTCACCCCCGTGGGCCGCGTCCCGCTTCCCTTCCCTTGTTTTCTTTTCCACCTGCGTAGCACGTTTCTAGTGTTTGTAGCACTTCCTTGTGCCATCTTTGTACCTCTGTTACATCAACTTCCGCATCCTATGATCCGCGTGTGCCGAAAGCTGCATCGACGCCCTGGATCCTTCGCCTCGCCTCCACCCTGTGTTTGTCCCCACGCGCATGCGTGTTTCACCTGCTTCCAGGGCAGACCCATCCGGCACAACCGCCGTGTCTCTGTCGTTCACCACAAAGGTTAACGCGCGAAATGCTGAGGAACGTTTCTTTGCACAGACCTTACAGTCACAACGTCCTTTTGCCGACATCTCGAATCACTCTGGCTGCCCGCGCGGTGGCCGTCTACACGGTACATAACACGCCCGTCGAGATTATGTTCGGCACGGGTGTTCTCCTTCTCGTCTCACCCTTCAGCCATGCAAATCCTCTCGGACAACGACCACGTGAGTCCCGCTCGGTCCCATCCTCCCGCGGCGCCGTTGAAAATTCAAAAGCCACGATCCCAGACGCCTGTCACCGACGCATCAATGTCCACCCAGGTTGTCACCTCCACACGTATGTCAGTCTTTCGCACACCATCGTATCTACACGCCGACGCCATCTGTAGCCCACCCCGTTGGGCCTCGTCCCGCCCGTGAGCTTGACACAGAGACGGTACACACGACCCTCCCGAAAGACCAAATACCTGTCGCCGTCGCCGAGATACCCTGCGTCTCTGATGTGGCCTGCGATACCATTGACGACCAGAGGCAGCGGTCCCGCACGCCCCCCGTAGATGAACCATTGGCGAAGCGACGCAAAACCTCCAATGTGGTTACAGTCGATATGGACGTCGGCTTTCGTGATGGCCTCTTTTGGTGGTCGGACGGAAACGTCGTCGTCCGTGCGGGATCCATTCTATTCAAACTCCATCGCTCCCGGCTGTCCATGTTTTGCGGGTATTTCCGCCAGCTTCTCGACGCCGGAGGTGAATCCGCAACCTCCCGGGAGTGCATCGACGATTGCGATGTCTACGATGTCCCCGGCTCGATTACGGCCAGCGAATTCAAGTCCTTCCTGTTTGTGCTTGAGCACCCAATGTACGTCACAATAGTATTCATCAAGAAGTTGTGTTCCTCATAGCTGTTTCCTACAGGCCCTTCGAACCCCATGTGCATTCGACTCAGGCGGTCGCGATCCTACGAGCCGCGATCGCTTTATCGAGTGTGCCGATCATCTCGATCGCCAAAAGATATCTCTCCACTATGTGGGACTCGACTTTATGCCCGCCACCCACAACGAGGAATCCCCAGCTCTCGTTCGACGGGGCCGTAGCCGTAGTCCGGATCGCCCGCGATTGCGACATGGCCGACACTCTCAGGCTCGCCTATTACGAGATCCTCGCGAGCGCGGAATTCGACCTCGAACTACAGTCCAATGGCCCATCGAAGAAGTTGACAGAAGAGGAACTACGCCGCCTTAAGAAATCGCGAAATCACCTTCGACACATATGGCTCAAGTATTGCTTGGAGTGCGGACCACACAACGGCTCTCCATCCGTACCGGCTCGTTGCGCCGCCCTCGAGGCGGGTTGCCCCCTCACTTCGTGCTGTGTTGACGCTGCGGGCGAACCGCTCAGCGGGGCAGCCCGAGAGGCCAGGTGGTTTCGGTACGTGTTGGAGGAGCAGCTCAAGGTCCATGAGTTGCTGGATCCCTATCGTTACTTCACAGACGAGAAGCGCAAGCATTTGGAGATGGCGTGGTGCAGCGCTTGTATGAGCCGTTGGGAGAGGACCTGGGGAGCGCAGAGAAAGATATGGTGGCTACAGGATAGTGTTGTCTAGGGGACTCGTATGGAAGGAAAGTTCGGCGTTGCCACCATGCAAGCGAAATAAGTACGCTGGTTCTTTTACCCTCATGCTCTGAGCTCTACAACGTCGGCCCACCTTGCGACTGTTCCTCCACAACGAAATCGTCGCAACTGGTTGACTTGCTTTCTGGAAGTTTTTCTTCCCTCCTATGGGTAAAATACCTCTTTTGTCCGTATCTCCGTGTTTCTCTAGACTATTCTACCTCCGCCTCTCGCCGACATGCCCACCCCGCACCCTCGGACTTCGTTGCTACGGCCTGTGTCCTCTCATGTACTTATTATCGTCGCATTTTGGTTCTATCTAGAGTTTCGACGCCCCCATATAGCGCGTGCTACTCACCCAAGTTCACGTCCGTCTACCGCTGCCGCCTCCGCCTCCAGCTTTCCGCCTTCCGCCTTCCGCCTATCAGCCTCCCGCCGCCGCCGCCCGTCTCGCTGTCCTCCGCATCGTCTCCGCGCACCTCGCGTTTCATCCCTCTCCTTCTCGCGCTCGTCCTCTCCTCTCGCGCCGGGCCGACTTCCCGTGGTACAAGCTCGAAGAGCCCGCACGCGATTCCCTTCACGTCCCCTTTCGCGCGCCTCCCGGCGTTAGCGTCCCATCACCGGTTGCGCGGCGTGGTGTCTGACCGAGCAAGGGAGTGGCATACGCTCTGATGGGGCTCGATGCCCTGACCAATGAGCGTGTCCTATGTTCCTTGCGCGTCCTCGACGACCTCCACGACGAGGGCCACGGTGAAAGGGCTCTCTGGTCCGACCCTCCAGCACCCCGCCTGCCCCAAGCGCCGTCGCCAACTTACCGCTGCTCTGTGCCACTCCGGTGTCCCTGATCTGGTCCACCTGACCGCCCGCCTGTGCCGCTCCACTCTCGGCGAGTTGTCTCGTCTTTGTGCTTTCACTCTCCACTCCCCCGCGTCCCTCCAGTCCCCTCCAGTCCGTCACCACGAACCGGTCTTCGTTTGTCCCGTGCTCGTTTGTTCACGCACCCTCCCCTGCATCCCTTCGCACCCCCTAGTACGTCACCGTGACCCGGTCTTCGTTTGTCCTCCACTTAGCGCACGTCTGCCTGCCGCGACGCCCCTCCGCCCTCCTTTGTTTACGCTCCACTCCCCCGCGGCCCTCCGCGATTGTGCCCCGGCCCGTGCCCCCATGTTAGCGTCGGCGACGGTGTGCGGGTGTGTCGGTGAGGTGGTGGTGCGGGTGCGTTGGTGACGGAACGGTCGGAGCGGCGCACAAGTGTGTGGGGGTGCGGTTGTAATCGCGTATTGGAGGCGGTTTGGTACGATGCGCGTCGCGCGAGCGTAGCAGCGCGGCATGTGCATCACCGCGTCATGATGTCCCGGCGGGAAAGTGCTCATACAAAGGGAGAATGCAGACATGTATTGTGGCAGGGGTGAAGGACATGTTATGAGGGAAGTTGCACCACTCCCGCTGGAGGGAACGTGAAGGAGGCTTTAGTGTGCGGTCTGGAGCGCGGCGGAGCGCGTTGGTGCATTCTTCTGTAGCGCGGCCACCGCAGGCGGTTTGCTTTGTGTGTTTTCTTTGTAAGTCCCTGCGTGACGTCGCGACCCGCGTCAGCTTTGTTCTCGGATCTCCCCGGTTTCACGATATGCCCCCTGTCGTTTCATTCTTTCACTGTCTTTCGCCACACCATTGTCGTCATCATCGCCACTTAAGATCTCTTCTCGACTACAACGCCTTCCCCCCAACGCGTCGCGAGCCCTCCTCTCCGAGTCTGCCATGGCCACTAGCTCTAAAAATCACAATCGACGAAAGTCAACATCTAGTCGTCGAAAGGCAACATACTCTACAAAGGCAAGTAGCTTCGTGACGCGGTTGATAGCGCCCTCACAGTTGCACCCTAGACATACCAGTTTGCATACGTTCTCGTACCTCCGATGACTCCCGTTCACCTCCGACTTATGAGGGAACAACGGCGCCTGTATGACGAGAACAACTATGATCAAATTGTTGAGGTCTTGAACGCATCAAACCGCTACAATTATAAGCTACACAAGGATCTGGGTAAGTTAATTTCATGAAGTTCAAAAATCAACGCTGAATTTTAAACCCCGATGTGTTATCGAAGAGACCGCTGATCGAACGCGAACTTTGTGAGGTAGTGATGTGGGAGAGCGCAAGAGAAGCACTATTGAATCACGTGTTCAGCACTTGTAGGAACATTGTAATAAAGAACGATTGAGCATAAAAGTCAGCTGTCCAGTCGTCGAACGCCGTTGACCAGAGGAAATCCCGGAGGCTACGGGAGACTCAAAGAGAGTTCCCCGAAAGGCTCCCATTCACCGCAGTCACTTACGCCGTGCCGATCCATCACCACAGTCGCCACCCACTGTCACCTTTGTCCTTGGCCACCGTTCGTTACGTCGTCATCAATTCGTGTTTACCATATCCTTCCCTGTCGCGTATCATGTCTGTGTTTGTAGTCAGATGACAACGAAATATTCTTCACCTTTATATATGGCTTTGAGTGATCAATCACACCCACCTGCTGAAAAACCATCGTCCCGTCGGTTACTTTGTCTTTTGGTGCACGGGTCGCTTGCATGCACTTTAGTCCCACTTGTTTGGATGCTGTCCAGCTGAACTGTCTCTGATATGCGTGTACAATGTACTTTGCTGTCGCGAAGTGTCATAAATTGGTAACTTGGAAACTTCGCCCTGTTCCCAATCCTTCCGTCCTCCTACCCTGGCCAGTCGTCCCAAGTGCCGATCCCGGTACTTATGGTTTTCCAAAAGAAGGGCCACCAGGTTTGCCTTTGTGAAATCTGCGCCCTTGGCACGTATGTGGACCACAAAGGACAAACCCACCCAGGTGCTCGCATCCCGTCAAAACAAGTCGCCAGTCACAAGTTGCGGGAGGAGCAACGGAAGATGGACTCGTCAATAGCTTCTTCTCACAACAGTATTCCACGCCCTGCGCCCATCCAAGTAAATGCGCTTTTTCACGAAGTCTTGGTGAGCAGTATGAGTATCTGCTTGGACGAATCTGACACCAATTAGGAGAGGGGGGAGACTTCCAGCTCACGAGAGTGCGAAGCTTCTTTCACCGATACTTCGCCTAACCATACTGAAGCTCACGTCCATCCCATCAAGGTAAGATAAATATTCATTCTATTTAGGTGCACCCATACCGACACTTTGGGCTTCTACGAAGCAATCAGGGTACCATCAGATCCTGAAGAATTTACGGCAGGCGTTTGACGAAGGCCTCCATTTCTTCGACCAGCTGTCGCCGGCAACGAAGTTAGCGTTTGAGACGAGCAATCACACCCCGTCATTGGACCAAAAGCACGAGTTCACACACCGTTTCATTCTGCACCGAAATTGGCTGCAGAGCGCGAAGCGAGATCTGGAAGAAACGTTTCTCCCTGTCAACGTCCGTCCCCTTGATAGGTCTAGGGATCTGTTGCTGCTGGACATCGGGATCGAGCTAGGCAGATTGGAGAACATGGAGCTCAGTCAGCGTATGCTGATGATCAAGATGAAAGACGTCGCCCAGAAACACCTGTATTGTCCTCGGGTAATGTCTGCTCGTGCGTATATCTTCAATCATTTTCGAATGCATCTGATGGTTTTTACGACAGCCGAATTTCTTCAAACCCGGGGCAAATTCCATCCATCCTTTCTGGCACCCTTGGTTACAATTTCCTTGCTATACGCCGGCGAAGGGGTGTCTCGTACCAGCTGCCAAAAGATTCTGCAAAGCATGAACTGTTCCCTCGCCCATTCGGTTTCTAGGACCGGATCCTCATCGACCACCCTGCCAACAGACATTCGAACAGTGTTAAGGCATCTTGGGCTATACCCGATCATCACACCTTATGCTTGTTGTCCCCGCTGCTTCGCAACATATGCACCCAAAGAAGATGCAGCGGAACCTTATCCTCTCCGCTGTTTGTTCAAAGATTCGGTCGATACGGAGATATGCGGAGCGACCCTTGTGGAACAGCGGGAGCCGGCAACCGAAGTCGATACGGGAGAATCCCTTTGCTCGCCCTTTCGCCCCATCCGCACCTACCCATATCACAGTTTCAAAACGTGGCTCACTCACATGATGTGTCGGAAACAGTTCGATGAAGGGGTCACGGAGACGTTGCGACGCCGGACGCTTGAGCTCGATGGCGAGTGGGACGACATTGGGAACGCACCCGGCATAAGGAACTTTTTCGGCCCAGATGGACGGACTCTCTTCATACACCCTCCCTCTGGTACCGTTCACTTGACTTTCAGCCTATTCGTGGACTGGTTCAATCCTCAAGGCAACAAACAAGCGGGGAAGCATCATTCTGTCGGTTGCATTTTTTTGGCTTGCCTCGAGCTACCCGTTCATATTCGCCATCGGGCCGAGAACCTCTATCTGGCAGGGGTGATACCCGGTCCGAAAGAACCTAGTCTTCAAGAAGTCAATCATCTATTGCGCCCACTGGTAGACGAACTGCAGGAGCTATGGGTACCGGGCATTCGTCTTCAAGAGACGTTCAGTCGTCCCTCAGGGTGTCGCCTTCTCGCAGCCATCTTCCCGCTCGTCTGTGATGTTCCAGCCCTCCGCAAAGTTGCAGGATTTTCTGGCCACTCTGCGAATCTGTTCTGCTCTTTCTGCAAGCTGTCGAAGAGTCGTATCAACGAGATCGACATGGCCGAGTGGCCCCAGCGCCTCACGTGGAAGGATCACCTCGCTCGTGCTGAAGAGTGGCGTACGGCATCAACGAATAAGGAAAGGGATGAAATCGTAAGCGAACACGGAGTTCGATGGTCGGAGCTTTTACGCCTACCATACTGGGATCCCACGAAGTTTGCCGTTCTGGACGTCATGCATAACCTTTTCCTTGGGATCCTTCGCCACCACTGCATCTCGATCTGGGATCTCAAGTCTGCGGAGCGGCGGAAAGACAAGGCTTCGACTAAGTCTGCTCACACACCCGAGCAGCAAGAGAAAATTCTTCGTTCTATCCGCAAGGCGGTTGATGAGAAACATTTATCAACACTTACCAGTGTAAGGAAGGACTACTTATTGGCCGTCGCCGCTCATAACAAGATACCCGAGTCTGGAGTCAAACTGAGCAAGGCGGATGTTGCGCGATCTATCTACGATTGGGTTTGTGGCCGCAATACCCGTTATTAATGCTGCTATGCTAACCCCGGAAGGAAACAGGTTCACGTCAACCGTAATGTATTGAATCTCCCGACTGCGATGAACCGCTCTACTGTCGAATTCCAAGTCGAACCCCAATACTGCCACGACTCCCGCTGTCCTGAAAACTTGGACAATTCCGAGCCTCCGTGTTCAGCGGCCCTCTTCAGTAACGACGTTCTCCAGGCGGTTCGACGGGGTATCGACACGATCTCTCTTCCTTCATGGGTTGAGAAGCCACCGTCAAACCTCGGTGACCCTGCGGCCGGCAAGTTGAAGGCGGACCATTGGCGCACCATATCGACAATACACATGACAATAGTGCTACCTGCACTCTGGGGTACATCCTCGGCTACTAGCTCGGAGAGGGAAGCTTTGAAGAATTTCTCGCATCTCGTTGCTGCAGTGGATCTGGCATCTCGTCGGGTCATGACGAAAGCTCGTGCTGAAAAGTCTCACGAGTATACGGTGTTGTATCTTTCCGGATTACGCTCTCTCTATCGCGCCGATCTTGTCCCCAACCACCACTTGTGTCTGCACCTGAAGGACTTCTTGTGCCGATTTGGCCCACCCCGCGCATGGTGGGCATTCGTGTTCGAACGTCAGATTGGAAATCTTGAGGGTATAAATACTAACGGCAAGGCAGGTGAGTGGAGTTGATACCCGTTTTCTCGGAACTCTGGAATTCATTGGACCGTTCGTTGGCGCTTACAGAAGACATACCAACGACATATGTTCGCACATTTTACACGAGTGCCAGAGCGCGCGATTTATTCGCATCTACAAAATGGCCAGACGAGGACGCTTTCACCAAGATGATGCAGTCTCATTTGAAGACCTCTGAAGATCAGGCTCGCGGCTCGCGTATCGTCGACGGATTATCAGGAGACACAGTCTCAAAAATCGCCCTATGGGAAATACCCGCTCGTACGCCACGCACCCAAAAGCGTCTCGAAGGCACAACGTACGATTACATTCTCAAGGAAATAAACAATCACTCGAAGATCAAGTACTGTTCTCCTGACGACCACCACGTGATGTCTCCAAGGGTCTTCTTGCCCAGCACCGCCAATTTCGTCAATCGGATGTCTCTGCGTGGAATTCTCTACACTACCAGGGATTCAGGAAGACAGAACTCGTTGGTGCTGTTCCGAAAACGTGGATCCACAGCCCCGTCGGCAGGACGAATTGAGAACATCTTCGAACACTCCAGATATGAGAAAGGCGAGGTTGCTACTGAACTATTCATTGAAGTGGGCGAATTCGAGCCACTATGTGCTACGGATGAGAGGCATGATCCGTATCGCCGATATCCCGACATTCAAACATGGCTGGTCTACAACAATGTCTTCAAAACTCATATTATGTGTCCCACCGACGTTATTGCCCACTTCGCCTCATGCGAATGGAAGCCTCGCGAAATTGAAAGATCTTGCCTTGTGGTACGATCCCTTGACCGCGTAAGTCCTCTTCATGCAATTGATATTCTCAGTTGATCACAAAAATTGACTCGCCTTTCAAGAGCTGATTTTTTGCGGCGAAACGCATAGCGAGCGTTGATGCGCATGCCGCGCGGCGCGCCTCGTACCAAACCACCCAGCTGCAACCGCACCTCCACCAGTCTGCGCGCCGCACCAACCACTACCTCACCGACGCCCGCGCCCCATGCCAGCCCGACGTCGCCGCCACTGCGTTGCTGCGCGCGCACGCGGCTCCCTCTCGTTGCCTCACATCTCCCGCTCCGCCCCGTTTCAGCTACTTCTGTTTCATCTATACAATATTCCAGCCTCCTCGGTACATGCTTCGCCCTATCAAACACCTCCGCATGTCTCGCTGCCATAGTTCGTGACCGCACGGCGGCTGCGCGGCCTCCACTTTACATTCCCTCGTCTCTCTCCCTACCTTCCTTTCGATTATTTTGCCTCATTCCTTCGCCGG